GGAAAGGGACAAAGAAAATGGGAATTTTGTCCAGGGTCTTGCCATGTCTAATTCACTTGCCCTAGCCTCCCAGTCAGGGGGACCACAGGTATTGGCACTGTGCGTGTCTGTTTTTTAGGGTGGTCTGGAAACGAACCTGGGCCTCTCATTTGGTCAGAAATGGCACTTGCAGGGTATTAGGTGAACAGGGCAAGCCTGCCCCTCAGTGTATCCGTCTAACAGCAGTCGTGAGGGAGGCCTGTTCTTACCCATCCTGTCAATATTGCATCTAGTCTGTGAGTTCCATGACTCATGTTCATGTTGGGGAAATGATTGAAATCTGCTGGAAAGTTTGCACTGTGATATTTTATTTTAAATCAGCAAAGCCTCTTTTCATTGCCAACAGTAAGTGAGGCAGCAAGGAGAATATAAAATGGGAAAGATTAGTTCCTTTCTTCAAGGAGTTTACAGTCCACTGAGTAGAAAATAGGTAATGCAAAGCAAAATCAACTACCTGTTTGTTATAAGAGAGATTCCAATGCCATGTAAATATAGGGAAGGGAAAACTTTATTCCAGTTTGGAGGAAGTAAGGGGACAGGAGAGGCTTTTAAGAAAGGTGGCCTAATGTAGTGGTTAAAAGTAAGGTCTTAAACTATTTTAGTCAAGGACTACACTGTAAATATTTGAGGCTTTTGTCTCTGTCAAGCCTATTCAGTTCAGGGCCAGCAGGTGGTATAGTGTTTGTGGCACTGGGCTCCCACATGGGCAACTGTGGTTTGATTCCTGGACCTGGCAGCTTGAAAGTCACTCTGGGCGCACGTGCGTGCATGCCCAAAATCCCGAGAAGGAAATGGAGGAGAAGGGATTGTGGCATGGCCATTGCCTCAGGGGCTGATGCCTCACTTTCTCTCTCTGTGTGTCCCTAGAGAGCACATGCTCTGTATAGCAAGAATCTCTCTCTCTAAAAAAAAAACCCCAACATAATAAATAAATAAAATTACTCAGTTCCACTGTTGTATTGATAGTGTGCAAGCACCACAGATGTATCTGTGTTTAATAATATTTTTTATTTATGGATGTTGAAATTTGAGTGTCATATAATTTTCACAAGAAATAATATTTTTATTATTTCCTCCAACATTTAAAAATGTGAAAACTATTTTTAGGTCATGGGTGTATTAGAACAGATAGTGAGCCAGATGTGGGTTGTGGCCTGTAATTTTCAATCCCTGGTTAGGAGGAAGGCCCTAGAGTCAGATGAACTGGATGTTGATTCTGGCTGGTCTCGGGCAGTTCATGTATATTGTGCTGCAGTTTTCTCTGCTGTAAAACAGGGTTAATGCTAATATCTGTCTCCTGGTGTTCTTGTGAAGAGGGTGCCTGGTCCTTAAATGTGCTTAGTAAGTGTGCATTATTATATTCATGGAGAAGGGGAAATTTGTACTGGGCACTGAAGGAAGGGAATTTTCTTTAAATACTGCAAGGAAGAGGGAAGCTTATTTTGTTTAATTAATTTTTACTTTTTTTCTATAGGGTGCATGCACTTGCTGTAGAGAGACACAGAGAAGGAAAGTGAGAAATCACTCCTAGTGGGGATGACCATGCCACAATCCCTTCTCCATTCTCCTCTCAGGATTTTGGGCATGTGCACATGTGTGCCCAGCATGATTTTCTTTTTTTTAAAATTTTATTTATTCATTCATTTATTTTAATTTGACCAGAGACAGAGAGAGAGAGAGAGAGAAAGCAAGCAAGCCACCAGGTCTAGGACTTAAACCATGGTCAGCCATGTGGGAGTATCCAGCGCCTTAACCACCATGCCACCTGCTCGTCCCATGGTTTTCTAGCCATCTGGTCCAGGACTGGAACCATGGTCGATCACATGGGAGTTTAGCACCTTAACCACCATGCTACCTGCTGGCCCCAGGAAGGGAATATTTTGATGAATGGAGAAGGCAGAGAATTCTGGATGGAGGAAAGAGCAGGCAGGAAAGCAAAGTGGTGTTCTGAAATACTGAGGAATCCAGCTCAGCGGAAGTATCGGTCAGGATGCTTACCTGGAAATAGCCAAACTGGGTCATTTAAGCCAAAGGTGATTTTTTTAAAAGGACGCTGGGTAGCTCACAGAATCATCCTGATGGCTACAGCACCAGGTGTGGTGGCTCTGCAGCCTGTCCTGTAGTGGTCACTCTGCTGGCCACACCAGTGAGGAACCACGAGGCAGATGCTGCTGCCACCAGACGGTAGATGTATTCATGTCACGAGCATCTCTGGCCCTGGCCACTGGGTGCTGCTCAGGAACTCAGATCTTCCTGCCACTGTTCCTGCTACCAGGAGAGTTCTCTGTGACCCCCTCTTCCCAATTCATCTACAGGGATGCTGTGTCCAGTTTGCATGGCCTAAGTCAGGTGCCTTGTGAGGAAGATGCTGCTGCCACCAGACGGTAGATGTATTCATGTCACGAGCATCTCTGGCCCTGGCCACTGGGTGCTGCTCAGGAACTCAGATCTTCCTGCCACTGTTCCTGCTACCAGGAGAGTTCTCTGTGACCCCCTCTTCCCAATTCATCTACAGGGATGCTGTGTCCAGTTTGCATGGCCTAAGTCAGGTGCCTTGTGTGTGCTGCAAAGGAAGCTTGGAAAGGATACATTTGCATTCTCAGCAGATGTAGAGAACTCCCCAGACATAAGGGGTTATGTGCTGGGCAGTCCGGAATAATGCCACATGTCCCTTCTTTGTCTTTTTTTTTTTTTATTTAAAGAATTATTTAATTAAAGATTTTTTTAAATTAAAAATATTTGTTCTAGGGCTCATGTGCTCATGAGACAGACAGAGAAAGAGAGAGAGAGAGAGAGAGAGAGAGAGAAAGCAAGCCACCAGGTCCAGGACTCAAGTCACAGTTGGCCAGCATGGGAGGCTAGCGTCTTAACCACCACACCACCTGCTGGCCCAGACACATGTCTTTTCTAACTGGAACATGATGGCTGTGAAGGAGAGCAGTGTAGATGAGGCTGGAGAGCTTTTATCTCGTCCTGTAGGTAGTGGGGAGCTGTGAGCCACTGAAGTTTTCGAGCGAGTGATAGGGAAGTAGATGAAATATGGAGAGATGGGACGCTGAGAGAAAGTAAGTGACGTCGAGTGCTAAAACCCAGTAGTATCAGTGAGAATGGAGAAGGCGACCAATTGGGAAGAACTTGGGGGGTTGTAGAACAAGCGTGTAGTCCCTGGCTGTGGGGAAGTAGAGACCAGTTCCTGGCCTGGGTAACGAAGGTTATGTAGTATATTTGTTTAAAGCTTGGTCTTTGAAATCAGATGGACTTGTTTGATACCTGACCTACTAGTCATTAGCTCTGTGACACATGACTCAAATCTTTCTGTTTGGATTTCCCCAGGGTGAGGGTATGTGAAACAGTTAATTCGTGCCTGGACCCATGGTGATGCCCACTAAAAGGGAGGTGTGGAGGCCAGCAGGTGGCATAGTAGTTAAGGCACTGGACTCCCACATGGTCATCTGTGGTTCGAGTCCCAGACCCAGCAACTTGAAACTCACACTGGGTGGGTCTGTGTGTGTACCCAAAAGGAGAATGGAGGAGAAGGGATTGTGGTGTGGCCATCCCCCTTAGGGGGGTAGTTTCTCACTTTCTCTTTCTCTGTCTGTCTCTCTCTGTCTCTGGTGAGTACACATACCCTATAGCAAAATTCTCTCTTAAAAAAAGGGAAGTGTGTGTGCCAATGACAGGATAATGAGCAAATAGGGC